GAGAGACAGGTTTCTAAAGAAATGATTCATTTAATAGGAAAGCAATCAACAATAATGAATTCGTTAAATCAAACGCTTGAATTACATGACCAAGAAATTAGAAAAGTATCTTAAGCTTTAGTTAACGTTACTAACGCATTGATACACACTAGAGTAAGACAAACTGAGTTACATAAAGCAGGAATGGAAATGTTAGTTTTAACACTAGGATTCAGAATAACCTACAACAGTTATATTTTACAGTAGGAAGTAGCAGGACAGAGTTAGTTAAGTTAATACAAGCATTGTATGTAGCTGCAGATAAAAAGTTAAGCTCTTACTTTTTACCACCGAGTAAACTAGAAAGAGTGTTAGACGAAATTGAAAGGAGATTACCTCTACATTTACAATTTATAATACCTACTCATAGTGACCAAATTTATATGTATTATACATGGGCTGACGTAAAAACAGCCGCGGTTAAAGATACTCTGAGGATGTTTATAGAAATACGATTAGAAGCAACTGACAGAATGTTGAAATTATATAAGATCATATCTTTACCGATAGCAATAAATCATTCATTAGCTTTAACTATAGAAAATGATAAACCATACATTGCTGTCTCGAGTGATCAACATACATATGTTGAAATGACAGAAGAAGATATGTTAAATTGTATAGACGAACCTATCAGAGTTTGTGATCCTAACTCAGGTATTTATTCGGTACCTATTGTAACTTGTAATTATGTGATATTCACAGGAATTAAGAATAGAATATCTGAACTATGTGAGAAAAGAATAATTATTCCTTAACCGTTCTATTCTTATAAAACTAGAACTCCAGGAACTTAGTTATTTAACGTTAAAGATGAACTTACTTTATCAGTTGTATGCCCAAAGTCAAATGCACATCAATTTGATTACCATACTAGAGTAATTAAGTTAAACAATAGTGGTTATCTAAAATTAGCTAGGAATTGTTCAGCTCATGATCAAGGTATTACCTTACCATCTGTTGCGTCAGCAGTCACATGACTACAGTGACGCAACGTTCTAGAATTATCATGTACTTTGGCGAATGCTCTAGTATTTACTAGTAGGGTAGGCTGGTATATATATAAGAGGGGAAAACGTGACGCGGGAGGAGAGGTAATGTGTGTATAGATAGTGAGTGATTGAACTGCGGTCAGAAGTATTATTGACGTTCGTTTGTTTAGCGCGATCGTTGAGTTCAGTGTATCGGTAAAGTTATATTCGGAAAGAATAAACCAGTTTTATTAAGTAAAGACTTGTGTCGTTAAAATTTCGTCGGAACGAAGTTACGGAAAAATCAATTAACGAAACGGAGACGTAACACATCTAATTTTAGAAGTGAAACTAAGTACATAGGAATTCGATTAAATGTAAAGATTCCAGAATTACAAGAACTACTAACTAAAAAGGAATTACAGTTAATTCAGAGTATAGATGTAGATACAGATATTAAAGAGTTGACAGATATACTAGAAGACACTAAACATTTACCTCTTAGAAAGTCAGGATTAAGTCTTAAGGATTTCCAACAGCATGTAGATCAATTACGAGCTATAGCTGGAGGGCATAGGTTAGATAATTGGAAATTATCTAACTCTGTGCTGATAACCTTATGCTTAGTAGTGGTTGACCTCAACCCCTTAGAACTAAGAAAGCTACAAAATGTTTGGTTTACGAGCAAAATTGGTGCTTTGAGGCGATATCACTTACAGAACATGGGTGTAACAGTACAAGTAAAATAGGTGACCGGCTAACACCACCTAACTGTAACCAATTAATTGAGAGTTCTGGTTTTGGATTAGCCCGGAAATTTCCCTAAAGCATCCAACAGGATCACAGGACTATTTGCGGGTGATGCTGTGTCCTATTTAATTGATTGAAATAATACCAAGAAAAATCGGTTTATAAACCCATGCATGGAGCTGAAAAATCAGTTTCCTCCAGAGGTCTACAGTTCCTCCGGACTTGAGAAGTTCTCCCAGGAGTTCCTCAAAAGCTCTGAAGTCAGAAAGGCCAAAGCTATGAAAATGTCCAATGTTAGCAAAATTACCACCAGCCCAACTGTGTTGTAAGTATAGTTTCTCTCTGAATCAGCTAATGTAAGAAATGTATAGAATATTATGTTAAATATATCTATGTGAAAAGTGTACTAACGATATTATAAGTGATTTAACCATGTGTAAAAAACATTTAAAGTTTGTTTTTGATAAACGAAGTTATACTTTTATTGAAGTACTAAACAAATGTTATTATAAGTGTTCACCATTGGCCTGAGACTATTTCTTTAGTCTAACTGTAAAC